AGGGACCATCAAGCAAAGTGGGGACATTTTGAATGGCTACTACTGTATGATCGTCGTACGGTGGGATCTACATTTTGCAAAAATGACCTTGTCACTGTTTTTGCCAGAGTCGGACTCTGAAGCTGTCGGATCTGACTCGGAGGGAGATCCGCTCTCCTCTTCGGCTCGATCACTGGACGATCCTCGCGGCTTTTTTGGGGGAGGTGGCCGCTTCAAAACAAACAAACAAACAAACAAAACAAAAAAAAAAATAGGGAAGAGTTATCTTTTATTTGACTTTTCACCAAAGTATAAACTTGCCTGCTATGCTTCTTCTTGTGGATAATCTTCTATAAGCAATTCAATTGTGCCCGAAATGTTTTCATTTTTTGACTCAAAGCCTCTTTTGCTTTAGCTTAGCGACATCACCAAAGCAAATGATATACCTTAGGAGCCGGCGGCTTTCGCTTTGTCCCGCCTCCCCTCCCTCTGTTGTCACTCCCAGATTCTGACTCCTCATCACTGCTGGACTCCGCCTTTTGGGGTATCGGGGCCTCTTCATCGTCATCTTCCTCCTCACTTCCTCCTGCTGCTTCGTTAGCCTCACTGTCCGATGAGCTAGCCTGCTACAGAAACATCACAATCAAAGCATTAACTGACATTTCCTTGCAATAATAACCCAGTCAAACTTTACATCATATCTAAAACTTCTAAGAATCTTTTTCCAGATGGACAGTCAGTGTTGAGCAGTAGATGGCGACCACTTTTGAGGTATAACAAAGTTTTAAAAAGCTACAAATCACTCATTCTGGTCCTACAATGTAACATCTTTTTAATCAGATGTCGGAGAGATAAACAGAATGTCGTCAACCAAATCATACATATATTATTTTGACAGAAGTAGAAACAAATACTACACTTTAAACATTTATTTAACATTATTTATATGAATATGATACTTTTTTTAAACAAAGTTATCATAAAGGGTCTGCTCAGCATTTTAGAACCCTTTCTTAAAAAATAAAAAATATCAGAGGAAATCTTAACTTTTTAAATTAGCAGCTGACTTACAGCAGGCGGGGCACTATAAGAGGCATGTGGGTTGTTCTGGATCTCCCATAAACCTTCATTGAATCCCTTCCTTTTGTTGGGCTTGCCGTAGCGATCGCTGTATTTTTCATATGGGAATAGGTCTTTCGCTGCAAGGAATGCTCTGCACCACAGAAAAAAGAAAGTTTGAAGTTACTGCATTACTGCAAAACAGGCAGGATGTTTGCATTCAGAAAAAGAACTGTTTATTTTCTGCACAGTTTCTATCTTAGTAACTTAAATAACACGCTGCTGAATTTTGCACATCTCTGATGTTGGCACTATTTTCAAATATCCGTTACTCTAAACATGCCCATAGCTGTATATTGGTTATTTATTCTCCAGGTGCACAGTTTTTTATTGTCAAAACACTTTACAGTACAGAATTTCATATTTTATCTTTTAATACTTCACTATTATGTTATTCTTATACATTTTTAAGGCCCACATTTGGGTATAAGTTTTTTTCTATAATCTTTTGCTGCTGTAAACACCAGAATTTCCCCATTATGGGACAATAAAAGGATATTTTTTCTATTCTATTCTGTTGTATTATACCAAGAAAGACATGGGAATGGGATATTCTGCCCCCTGCTGCTGGGCTTGTGTACTGCTTGTGCCATCTTCTCAGAAACTGTCAAGGCATGTCTTTGTTTTCACCATTAAAACTCAATTTACACAAATAATACAGCCACACGCCTTCAAGAGTCAGAAGGTTCAGGTAACAAAAGTGCACCCCTTTTCCCCTTCAGTCACAAAAACTGATCATCTGATCTTTTAATAACATTCTCTTAATTCATAAAAACAATCAACAGAACTCTCTTCATGTTTTCACCCACAAATTCTTACTGTACAGTTCTGATTGCTAACTAGCTGTCATTTTGTGACTATTTCTACATGCAAATGCAAAATAAAGAGAAAACAATTCAAATATGAGGCTAAATATAAATGCTAAGATTTCCATAAAAGCCATCTGTGTTGAATGCTGCACTCACGTTTCATGTGTCCCAAAGAAGAAAATAGGGATTTTATTGGGGGGTGGTTTCACAGCACCATCAGCCACATCTTCGATCTGTAACCAAGACAAAACATCCAAGCAACAACTCAGACATCCCTCTGCCATGTCAAAAAAACAGCATTCATGACACGGTATGATGAAAAGGAGCCAAGATAAATATGCTTTTACTCCATAAAGGGGGGTTTATGATCCAGGAAACAAGCTTCGGTTATCTCAAACGTCATTTTCAAATTAACAACGGTAGCTCCGCTTGTGTTTTCCTTGCAGTATAACATGGTAATTTCCCCGCTTTAACCTAGACTGAATGGCTTTATAATTAAGCAAATTATAGCATACACAGAATAAGTTATATATGTGTTTTTCAACGTGTGTTGGATATTGATTAGATACCCTGAGAGGCTTCCACAGCGTCCCATGCAGAGCCACCCACCCCCTCCTCCTCCTCCTCCGGCTGCTTACTTACCCTAGCTGGCCAGTGGGGGTATCCCTTCATTTTAGCGAAGACCAGGTCTCCGGCCTGGAAGTTGTGCGGCATTGTCCCACCTCTCCTTGCAGCCTGGGTGTTAAAAGCGTTACGTTTTCAATTTGCTGTCTGTGTCTCTCTTGGTCTGATGTTTTCAGGTTGACACGAAACCTGGAAACGATGGAATCAGCTAACGAGCTAGCTGCATTCTCACCGATCTCTGGTGTTACCGCGAGAAGAGAATGCGAGAAGAGAAGAGACGATGCGCAGCGGCTACTTCCGCAAAGGGAAAACCTTTTTCCTTCAAAATAAAATATGTAGGTTTTAAAACAATTATAGGGACTATGTTTATTTTCTGAAGTAGAACTTAACATAATCATTTTAAACAATGTAACAATGGGTAGTTTTTGACAGGGGGCAAAAGCACTGAAAGAATACACTGTAAAAATAATATTTTTTTCTTGAAAAATGTCTATTTTACCTCGACTGAGCGGGTAGATAAGAGCATTTACTAATGGAATAAGATGATTTACATTTAACATAGAAAAAATCTCAGCTATATAATTATGTAAATATCTTCCTTTTGCTGCTCCGTTTAAGGCAAAATATGCTTATATTAATATATTTTAA